CTATAATTTTTTTCCTTGGAGATTTATGACATCTTATTACTTAATCAAGTATAATAATTTTTGCTTGAAAATGTAAAAATTGTTGACTTATAAAAAAAGTTTAAAAGATTGCTTTACATTTTGTATTAAATGTTGATCTATCCTAATCTTAAGATTTCAAATTAACCCATTTCATTGGAAACATCTTAATTTAAAATAAAGTTATCTCGTCTTGTTTGCTTCTTCAGTAAACCTATTAGTTATTTTGAGTAAACAGGGTTGATTCATTGGATAATTGTTTGAAAAAACGTATGGTTGTATACAACTATAGTCGTACTCTATTCTGTTCTGTAACCTATTATTACCACCAGTAACTCCTATGTTCCATGTTTTTTCATGTAGTTCCCAACTACTACATTACATGAATTATATACTCAAACTAATACTAATACATGCATTGCTATGCATGTGATACCCTGTTAAACACTATCTACTATATACTTTTATCTAACTATATGGACTTCATACTTAATACCCTAACTGCTATACCTTATGTACTATATACTTACTTTTGAAATTAATTATACTCTACCTCCTAACCATTGTAACTTATGAGTTATAACCAAAATAATATATTTTCATTACCCTAAACTACATACTTTAAACTCTTAACTACTGTGTACTAGATACAATAAATACTTTACACCGTATATAATATGTACTTGATACCCTACCTGCTGTATGGTATGGTATGGTACACTATGTACTTTATAATTTACACTCTAACTATACTAGACGCTACATACTTGCTACCCTAACTACCACACACTACTACTACTATATACTGTGTACCAGGTCTGATGTATGTATTAGGCTTATGTTTTTGGTCAGTTGTAAATGCATAGTACACAAGATTCTAGGTTTGATTTTTATGAGTGCCCATGAGGTACATACATAGTACATTTGATGTTTAGACAGGTGAACATACAGGGTGTCATTTTTTGACACACCATTGGAAAATGAACGCGGGTGCGTTTAAATCTGTCTCGAGGCTTATTTCCTTTGATTAATACGTTAATAAAAGAAAGTGAGTCAATTTTCGGTGCACCATAGGAAAATCAAGGTTGGTGCGTCTAATTATGACTCGGCACATTTTATTTTGTTAGTCTCGTACCAAAAAATAGCCGAGTCACTTTTCGACGCACCATTTGTTACAAATTAGTTTTAGTAAATTGGAAGGAAAATAAACAAAACCAATATTATTAAAACATTATTCGAACACAATTTAAATGTAAAAATTAAAAAAAAAAAAAAATTCTTCACAAATTAATCTGATTAAGGTTTAAGAGTATTTTTTTCGTCCGATCATCGTTTTACGATAGACTAGGCTACTGTGTTGCAGCAAATGGAGGTCTGTTCGAACAATTATAATGATTTTGAACATTTTCGATATGCTAACAAAGGAGATTGTTACATTTATTTAATTTTTTTTTTACTTTACCAGAAAAGGAGATTGTTATATTTATTTAATTTTTTTACTTTACCAGAAAAAATACTCTTAAACCTTAATCAGATTAATTTGTGAAGAATTTTTTTTTTTAATTTTTACATTGTGTTCGAATAATGTTTTAATAATATTGGTTTTGTTTATTTTCCTTCCAACCTACTAAATCTAATTTGTAACGAATGGAGCGTCGAAAAATGACTCGGCTATTTTTTGGTACGAGACTAATAAAATAAAATGTGCCGAGTCATAATTAGATGCACCAACCTTGATTTTCCTATGGTGCACCGAAAATTGACTCACTTTCTTTTATTCACGTATTAATCAAAGGAAATAAGCCTCGAGTCAGATTTAAACGCACCCACGTTGATTTTCCAATGGTGCGTCAAAAAATGATTCACCCCATATACTTGATACCCTAACTGCTATACACTATGTACTGTATATGTACTTACTTTTGAAATTAATTGCACTCTATGTCCTAACTATTGTATCCTAAGAGTTACATGCCCAAACTAATATATTTTCACTACTGTAAACAACATAATTTAAACATTAACAATGCATTTGCAATGAACTATGTATTTGATGTGTACGATTCTTTGAACTATAACTGCTATGTACTTTGTACTATGTATTTGATATCCTAACTGCTGTACAGTTTGTACTACATTTAAATTTAAACTTTAACTAAACTAAATTCACTAGTTTCGTGGTCCGCTTGACCAATTAATGTCTTTCAATTAATTAAGGTTTTCAGTTGAGATAAAATTTAATAAATTTAACTATACTATATACGATAAACTACTACTATATACTTTAAACTGTACTATATACTATGCACTATACAGGGTGTCCAAGCTAATGCGCCCACCTTATTTTATTTCTTTGCTGTTCTCGATAGGAAAAAAGTATGAATTGAGACTCCCCTTCATTTTTCGTTTAGTTTGTTCATGGAAGGAAATATGATTTTTTGAAAATAGCTGGAATGCTGTTCTAATGAGTTTGGTCGAAACCACTTTATTTTGCATTCTACTGCAAATATTGTGAAGAGGAGTGGAAAATCAGCCAAAGTAGAGAGAAAAATCTGAAAGCTTACTAAATTTCCTGCCAAATCCCATAAATTTCGTATTTTGTATCTTTTTTTCCCCTCGACCAATATCTGATCTTTTATATCTTGATATCTGATAAGCTTTCAGACTTTTCTCTCTGCTTTGGCTGATTTTCCACTCCTCTTCAAAATATTTACAGTAGAAGGCAAAATAAAGGGGTTTCGACCCTGACCTCAATACACTATGTATTGGGTTGTCCGGAAAATAATGCAGGATTTTGGTATTAAACAAAAAAAAAGAAACTAGTTACTTTAAAGCAATGTTCTTTAATCAAAATAATTTNAATGAGTAATCCTGTAAACGTAAACAGAATATTTTATATAGATTTTTTTTAATGAAAACTTAAAATCCTGCATTATTTTCCGGACAACCCGATAGTACATAATGTAAATTCTAACTACTATATGCTATGTTCTACATACTTTAAATTCTAAGTATTATATACTTGATACCATAATTTCTGTAACTATGCAGTTAAATTCTGACTACTATATACTATGTACTTGATAATCGTAATCTTTACATACCATAAACTGTATACTTTATACCGTAACTTGTATCCAAACCTTTGGAATATTGTTTTTGTCGACTAAAAAATTGTAAGAAAATTTCAATAATATTAATCGATGGTCCTCTCTGTACTCTTTTTCTGCTTAGTCGGCGAATCTTACGCATATTGTAAATAAGGTATATATTTCAAAGGTTAAGCCATATAATTATTTCTTCCGTGATATCGCGGTTTTCCTAATTCTGAAATTTGACATTGTTTGAACTTTTAAAACTGCTAAATGGCCCTTGTGTATAGCGTTAGTGCGCCCTTGGGATGCGGAACGAGGGATTAAGGTCGACAAGTCCCTTTTGCTCGTTTACATATTTACCCAGGAGCAGTAAGACAGTTTAATTAAAGGGCGACGTGGAAAAAGTACATGTCCGGAATCCCCGAGCTCCTCGCAAATGAAGGGCATTATCGGAGGGGACAGAGTGGCTAGGCTAAAGAAAAAAGGGGAATAAGCCCAAAGCCTCCGACACATATCTTCCAGGGAAAAAATTAACGCCGGTGAAGTGGATGGGGGTTGTCAACTTTTGTGGCGTGAACTTAACATGGTCCAATTAGGGGGCTGCCTCCACCCCGACCCCATCAGATCCCCGGGACAAACAAACAAAAACTCAACCCTACTTGAAGTAATATTGATTGATAAGCCTTATTAATATCGTTTTAATTGAACGAAAGAACGTCATTAGCATGTTTACTCCGGCCGCACGAATAATTCCCCCCCGGACGCATCGCGACCTGAAGAGCTTTTAATATTCCGAGCATAATGGATTGCATCATTCTTGCAACGTGTGGGCAAAAGTGCAATTATTCGGTGCTTTGCATCTCACCGTTTTTCCATATTTACAAATCCGAAACGCATGTCTGCCCATACCCTGTTTCGGAGAAATGACAACAGCAAAACGTACATAATTGTTAACTTTTCCCGCAAATTTTCATTCGATAATTCGATTAGTACCACCGTCAGAGTATATTATATTAAAAATAAATAAATAATACATATTAAAGATTAAACAAGGCCGATAATTTTAAATTGTTTTTTATGATTTTTTTTTTAATGAAAGATTATTAAATTTTTTATATCAAACTTTAATACATAACATTTTTTGCATTTTATTACAGCTTGATTTTTTCTGAGGTCTATCTCAGCCTCGCCGGTTGTCTTTCGCGTTTCCCTGTCTTAAACAATTGGTCCTTACAGTCAAGTTCTTGCATGTTTTACCAATTTGCAGATTTGCAGTGTTAAGTTTGAAATTAGGTCTATTGGGTGTTTTTATAGATTTTTTTTGGGGGGGGGGTTCATTCAGTGTTCGATGTCTATTTGTTCGTTTCTGTGGGGTCGATTGTTGATCATGTTAGTTTGTTAGAAAATCAAAATTATGAAATAAGCCATTTGTTTATTGTAAGGAGACACGATTGGCCAAATAGCAAAATAGACCAACCCAAGAATCTGACAGAATAGGATGATATGAGTCGAGATTCATAGCAATGTTTAACATTAATATAGTTCTTCTGTACATTAATACATCTGCAATGGGTAATTCTTTAATATTGAAACAATTTGATTGTCATAACAGTTTTATATAGAAATATCTGTCATGTAGATTATTTTAACGAATTATTCTGTGAATTGAAATTTAAAGTCAATTTTAGTCATTGGCTAGTTTCGAAATTAATCGACTTGAGGTTCTCTGAAGAGTTACATTGGGTCGAATTTTCAAAATGGAAAAATTTATGTAATTGTTGTTTGTCTTAAATTTGGGCAAAAACCCTTTTTTGTAAACTTATTTTAAAAAGTAGAACTTTTTATTATTGTTAGCAATTTTGCTTATGATTTTAATTTTTTTTCCAGAGATGCTGGCCGGATGGAGCCGCTGTATAGCATTCGAAACAAAACCCTCCTCTGCAAACATAATCTGCTACTGTTTGATCGTGAATCTGAGAATGATGTGTCGAAGTAAGTTAAGCCAAATTCCAATTATATAATCAAACTTCCATTTTTTTAATACAAAGAAATAATAGGATGAAGGGAGGACGGAAAATTATAACCTCGTTTGTTAATTGTTTATTTAATTGCAGTACTTCTTTAATGTTTTTATGCTGATAAGTCAGATTCCATCAAAAGGAAATACGTATATACAAATTAAGAAGAGACACAAAATAACGAATTTATTACAATAGCAATATAGTACAGCAATGTATCATCGGATCTGTGATTTGTCTTAGGGTACTGCAGGTTTCCGGTACCTCAGGGCTGTAGGGATTTTCAAATGTATGTAGTGTTTGTGCTTATGTTAATGTATTAGAATGAACGTAATTTATTTTTTTTATTTTTTTTAATTTATTTTTTTTATTTTATTTTTTTATATTTTTATTGGCCTTATGATCTTGCATATTAGCCGTGGTACGAATTCTTGTGTGTTCAAATTGGGGGTTATCGGGAAAAAAGGGCCAGAGGCGACGGTGGGGAATCGAACCCACGACCGCGGCGTGAGAGTCTCTCATGCTAACCACTCGGCTACCGCGGTCCCCCAAACGTAATTTATTAGCGTGAAAGGAATGGGTTGTTTAACTCCGCCACGAAGAATATCGAGTAGTCCAGGGTAAGTTGAGACGTCTGGGGCGTAATGTAAGTCATTTTCGAAAAATAACCCAGCCCAGTACTCTGAGGAGTGAATTTGACCAGACTTCTATGTTTATATCGGGTGTTGTGTCTATGTTAATTTATTGGAATGAATATAATTTATTAGCGTGAAAGGAAGCGGTGGCTTAACCACAGTCGTGGAATATCGAGTACTCTGAGGTGTGAATGTGACAAGACTTCTATATTTTAGGGACCGAACCTACGGACTAAAGGACTGAACCCCGCTCGAAATTCTAATGAGTTAATTCAATAAGTGAACCCGATGCCCTACACTTTTGAACTTATGCGAGAATAATGTTATTATGTTCAATTTATGCGACAAGTAAAAATATTCTTAAATTAAATTTCATAGAAAAATAAAAACATCTGAAAGTTATGCCATTGTATTGTGGGATTCTATGAACAAATTTCAACTACATATGTACACCAAGCAAAGAGTATTCTGAAGGACATCGCCAACAATGAGAAGACACTTGCATCGGCTATCAATCAGAGAACTTTTTTTGTTGAAATGCAAGGCACTGAAGATGATCTCAATAAAGGCCGAAACGTTGGCACAATAAAGAAAATGTTTTTCTAAAACCTACGTCACACCAGATGCATTTCACGATCTCAGAATATTTTTTAAGACTGTTATTAACAATTTTAGTGGTTATCTCGTTTTAGAAAATATAGTAGACAGGTCCGTTTATTTGTCATTAAAATGTAATAAACGTCTGGAGGGTGTAAAGGTCTCTAGTATAAGGAACGTTTAATGTGGTGGTGGAAAATGTGTGAAAAATTGAGATTAATGTTTCCAAAGGAAGGGAACACAAGGGGAAAAACTGGTTTGTAATAGCACTTGGACAATTTCCCATAGCATCCCTATTGCTTATTATTATTTAACCCGAATCACTTTCGATTAAAAACATTTTCACCCTAGATTATTTCGTTAATGGGATTAGTCGTTAGTTCTGTTTTACGATTCGTAATTTTTCTTTTTATTTTTATCGAAGGAGTTTAATTTACAGTTCCAGAAGTTAATTAATGTTGTGCAATTTATAGTCTTCTAATGAGGTTGAGGAAAAGGGGTTGGCATGAGGAGAAGGAAAGTCAACCCGGGTGAGAATACCTTAAACTCAACCACGCAAAAAACAAAGCCTTATATTGCAACATACTTTGTCTAATGTAACTTATAATTAACTTTGCCCCTTTCCGAGGGCACAATTTCCCCAGGTATTCAGGGTTTGAGGTATTTGCGGAGAAATCGTCGCAATCTCCTTATTCAATCTGAATCAGAGTAACTCGGGGTCTCGAGTTTTTATTAACGCTATTACCAATTTTTGTAAAAGCCCAAACGTTTTCTTAATTTTTCTTAATTTTTCAGTCAATGACCTGGTTTTCAAGACTTCCATTATCTTGCTTTAGATAGCCAATATGTCTCAGATGAAAGAATATGGTATGTTAAGTCAAGAAGTTCTGTGACGCAACTATGCCATTTCGGAACTTAGAATAATAAACATTAACACCGGCTTGTCAGCCTGTGTGCCGGCAGACCAATTTAAAGTTAGACTCTTTCTGGTGGAGTGCTCACAAAAGTATCAGTAATTAAGAAAAGAAATGAAGAAAAGAAGGATCAAAACTGGGGATTTTGATGATGGATGTAAATGGGTTGGCTTGGTTGAAATCCATAACAGTAAACATTCAGGCATATCGTTCCTCTTGATTCTACGAGTTCCAAGTGCCTTCTTTACCTTTTTATAAATTATGAGAGTACTACTATTTTATAGCACTGAAGAATTTTGATTTGGGCTTCGTTCCCAAAAAGTCGTGACTTCCCAATGTAAGGTTAAGGCTAAGGTTAAAAGTAGTCGACCTGTTCCCTACCTTGCGAAACCAATATTGGTCTATTTTGCAATCATTGTCTATAGCTCTTCGTTAAGCTTAAGGATTTGTACCGGATCCCAAAACTTTGTTAAGTGTTCTCGTGTGTAACCTTCAGATCTTGGCTCAGATCTTGGCTTTTCTTGTCAGGAGTCTTAGGCTGCAGTCATCGCACCAACAACGTGTTCCGCCGTTTCTTCTTCTTCAGAAAAAAATCTGGAGAAGCTTTTATCTGCTCCGAGTGAATCTATATGTTTCTGGAGTATGTAGTGTCATTCTCACCATTCTCATTCTAATACGTCCTAGAATTAGTATTTCTGCTGTAAGTTTATACGATGGCCTTTTAATGAACTTTTTGTCTGCCTTGTTCTGAGATGCAATCTCCTTAAACGTATTTCCAGTCATAATCTAATGGATCTAATTTTTGGCAATTTTTTATGCCGCAAAGGGTACAGGGCCGATTGCTGTCCTGATCGAACTTTCCTTGGGAAATCTGACAGGTCTTTGATTCAAACCCAAACGACTTTGAATTTTCCCCCCAGATGTAATGGCCATCTGTAATCCATCCACTGTTCATGGCCATCTAACTGTCCGAGTAGATGCTATTTATCTTTTCGTAATAAAGAAAAAGAAGAATTGTGAGAAATCGGAATCTACAGATAAAACTTTGTTTTTGACGATGCGTATTGTTGCACCTATCTTAAGAAGGGTTGCCAGTAGGGCCTTCAAGGCGTCCTTAAGTTTCCTTCTGAATAATATGCTATTTCCTTAGAATGAGCTCGTTTTACGAGAGAAGACTGATCCTTACTGTTATACTAGTAATTTCAATTGCTGAATGAAATCTTTAATTTCATAAAGATAATAATGTAAGAGACGGTGTCGATCACTTATGAAATATGATTCGATCCTGATTAATGCTTATTTTATCCTGTTTATCTCGGCTTTAATCTGTAAGACGTATTTCACTATCTTCAGTGGTTGATCTGTTTTACACATTGTCGATGGTGAAATGCCGAAACCAGAATAGTCAGAAAAGGGCAAACTGAAGGTTCATCATCCGGCAGTCCTGAAGTGTAAATATCACCATCATCATATTTATTGTATTGTAACATGCAAAATAAGTTGGTCCGCTAGTGCTATTTCTCGTTCCATAAAATTATAATTCTACTTAAAATGACTTTCCAAAAGGGAGTCAATGGGAAGAAGTAGGTAATTAGATTCTTGCATAACATTAAAAGTGATTTACTGCCTGGGGGTAATGGGCGGTGGATGTCACAGTCATTATGTAAATACCAAAGTTAAGCAAAGTGTCGCGCCCCGCATCATCCTCTGTTTTTGCATCCGCTGTCGATTCTCTCTCCCTCCCTCTTTTAGCATATTGCACAATTAATATCATATTAGGAGCCTATGCTAATGCAGACAGCATCTGGGCAACACAGTTTTCACTTCACTATAATTAAGTGCTGACCCAGTTCAATTATAAAGGGCTGAGCTGAGTTTGAACACTTTCCTATGTTCTCTTTTGCAGCCTGGCAGCCCTGACTGACGACGAATGGACCTCGCTGTCGGGCTTATACGAGATCGACCAAGCGATTACAGTCACCTACGAAGCGGAGGGGGTGATCACTGCAACATCACCGTGTAAGTACATTTTACATAAAACATTACTAAAAAAACAGCATTTAATAAAAAATTTAGAAATTAAATACTTAAATAGTATCCAAAGAAATGTTTTATGGCAAAAGATACGACCAAATTCAGCTTAGATCCTTAACTTTTTCAGTATTTGTATTAACATGTTTTTATTGCGAATAAGGGTGGTATTAATAATCCCTGTTAGATTATGGAGTTCCATTAGACAATGTGTGGGATTGTGAATGACTTCCTCGAAAGTCCGCCCCCTCACCCTCATCCACACGACTCCAAATGAGCTTTATATGCAAATGTACGGGAGCTGAGACTAATGATCTTTCATCAGCAGCCTCACAAGACGCTCCACCTTCTCGTGAGGATTTGTCACTCGAGACTTGTCGCGCTAACCCTAAATGGGGCATTTGTCACCGTTCCACGTTTAATTGCTATATTATGAGGACTAGGATGTTAATTTACAAACCGTGGTCTTTGGGGGGGGGGTATAAACCGAATATATTCCTCGTTCATATTTTCCCGCATGTCACAATATCTATTTAATTTTTTAATCTTTTATGTACAATAATAAAATAAATCTAGCACAAATAATAAAATGTTTGGGAATATATTGTAAATTTCTCTTTTCTTCCAAACCAACCTGACCTCGGGGACCTATCTTGTTGTTTCATAACAAGTTTCGATTTCAAAGACTAAGTAGATTGTTAGGTGTCATAGGGGGGCAGTAAGCGGTCAAGTAGCAAGTAGGGGTCAAAAACTTGTAGGGGTGGCGGCATAAGGGAAAGTTCGAAAAACCAACAACACCCTCAAGGCCCATTCTATAGAAACTAACAACAAACTTGTCTGTATACAAATGAAAGAATGAGAGATTCTCTTTTACTGTTCTTATTTCTCGCTTCAAGAGAAACGCTTCTGTCTCCGATTTGGTTTCTTCTTCACACATTTGTCTTTTAAAACTTATATGAGATGACGCTGGAGAAAGAAGTATTAGCCTAATAAGTGGTAAATAATAATCTTCGTTCAATATTGCCACTTAGATTTTGGGGAAAAAAGTAAAAACGCTGAAAAACGCATACTAACAAAACAAAACTCCGAAAGAGGGAACATTTTCCTCTATGAAGGCTCTCTGAATAACGTAGTTAATAAAAATGCAAGGAAATTAATCATTGTAAATTTATCTTTTCTTCCAAACCAACCTGACCTCGGGGACCTATCTCGTTGTTTCATAATAAGTTTCGATTTCAAAGACGTTGTATAATAAACAAAATTAATCAGTTATCCATACAAATCTATATGAAATTATAAAAACCTTATACTTAACATATTTGCCAAGGATGAGTCGTGCAGTCTTAACCTTTTGGTCGCCCAACCCTTTAGCTCTTTTTCCAATTTGTAATATATGATAAATTGATTTTGAATGTACAATATTTAATATAAGTTGTAATTGGTGGAAAATTCTCAAAGCCGAGCTGGAAATGGAACCCAGGATCGTTATTTGACAAAAATCTGACGACTTAACTGCAACATCCACCGTGACTTGTGTATCACAAGGTAGTATCCTAGGTTCCTTACTGTACTTGCTATGCCTACTTACCACGAAAAAATGATCAACGTAACATTTGCCGGCAACACAGCATGCGAGGGGAAAAAAGGGATCGATATATCCACGAACTGCAAACGACAATCAACAGCATTCACGACTGGACATATATTCGGAAGGTGAAAATAAACGACTTGAAATCCGGACACGTTAAAATTACAAACATAAATTTACTAGACAAACCAATCCCTTCAACGGTAAAGTAGTACCATCCCGGAGTTCAATAAAATATTTATGCATCACACTAGATAAAAGAGCAAATTGGAAAATACACATTAAAAAGAAACGGTAAGAGTTTGACTTAAAATTCTGTTTTATAAATTTTTGTTAATAGCCACGTGCTTACCTCATTGGCCAAACCTCAGTTAGAATTTTTATTAATATCATCAACAATTCCAGGCGTAATGCAGTCGAACCGAGGACGAGAGTACTAACCACTTGGCTACCGCGGTCCTCAAGTGAATTTATTATTTTTTGTCGAGCCATCCAACATATAATCCTTCCAGTCAAAAGTCCTCAGGCAAATCATCAAAGCTCCTTATTACGTCACTAACCTCACTATCCACACCGACCTCAACATCCCTTTGGTAAACGAACTGTTCCGTTTTGATTCCATAGATTTCACACCAACCTTTGATACAACCGTAATGTTGTAGAACCCGCCACACATAATAGAGGATGGCTTCGAGACCACCTTCACCATTGAGTGCTGAGTGGCAGCTAGGCTGGTTTCTAATAGCATGTGTCTGGGCATTGGTATGGTATGTTGATGAAGATACTAGGAAGAGGGGTTTGTGCTCCCCAGGCACTGCAGCCTTCTGGATTATTGAACCTTCCTAGTGCCCTAGTTCTGTCACTCAATCGTTCTTAGAAACATCAGGTCATTGACTGTCGCTGCTACTATTTCATTCCTTAGATTTTTTCGTATGTTAGGGTAAATCTCCATTGAGCTGTTGATCCGAAGATGATATGGTTGGCTGTTTCCTCCTCCTCATTGCATAATCTGCAGATGGGATCATCGTTGTATATGCCCATGTCGTGTAGATGTTTTCTCAGATGCTAGTGACCGGTTAACAGTCCCTCCACTGAGTCTTGCCCTCTCCAATTGCAGCAGTGAGTTTGCCGGTCTTGGTGACGGTTGTTTCATCATAAATTCACTGCGTCTAGCGCCGCTAGAGTTTATCCACTTCTCCTATGATCTTGCGGATCCTCCGCTGGTCAGTCTGCTTTCTCGTTCCCAAAATCCCAAATTCCTCTGAGCCCTGGTACTCAAGATATCAACAGGTTGTTGTGTTTCCCCAAGTTTTGGAGATTTTGGACGCATTCTCTGACTAATTGTGATGAAATTCTTTTACATGCTAGTGCTTTAATGGCTGCTTGGCTATCAGATCTTATGAAGATTTTATTGCCAGTGCAACCTCTTTTAAGATTTTCCAGGGCACAAGCATTGATGGCATGTATTTCTGCTTGGAAGACCGAAGTGTACTTCCGTAATGAGTTTGATTGCTCATGTTTTGGGCTTGTACAGAAAAGTTCTGATCCGATTCCTTCGTTTGTTTTGGAGCCGACTGTATACCATATCATTGTATCTGATGCTCTCCTCTGTTTTTCCTCTCCTTTATAGTCCGTTGAGACTTTATAGGATGTTGTTAAGTATGTTTCCGGATCGTTTGCATTAGTATTTGTACTGCGACCATGTGAAAAAACGCATTGTGTTGAAAGTTGTTGCCCACAAATAAATAAATTAATTAAAAAATGTATTTTTAGCCAGTGAAAAATGAATATATGGTCGCATTAAATCAGATGCAATTAATGAAATGTATTGATAGGAAAGTACACTTAATGATTTTGTTTGTCATAACAAAAGTAATGAATTTACAATGCTATACAGGGTGACTTGCTACTCGTGCTACAAACTTCTCCAGTAGATTCTTCACCCTAAAATGAACAAAAAAGTTCATATTGTCCATGGTCCGATTCTCAACCATTTCAGAGTAATTTCGCTTTTTATCGATTTTGAAAGATATCACGTCCTGGCGTCGGAAAATCGTGATATCTTTTAATCTAAACATTTCTCTTAAAATCTATAAGCACCGTTGAAATCCCCGTTAATTTTTAGAGAGAATCAAAATCATAATTCCATTGAAATTTTTTAATTTAATTTAATGCCCATTTAGTATGTAATGCTTAAGAAGTTTACAAACAGCTAGAAGGTCAAGGAAGAAAGACCCAAACGTTTTGCCACCTTCATCTTCTTATTGAAAAATTAACGGGGATTTCAACGGTGCTTATAGATTTTAAGAGAAATGTTTAGATTAAAAGATATCACGATTTTCCGACGCCAGGACGTGATATCTTTCAAAATCGATAAAAAGCGAAATTACTCTGAAATGGTTGAGAATCGGACCATGGTCAATATGAACTTTTTTGTTCATTTTAGGGTCAAGAATCTACTGGTGAAGTTTGTAGCACGAGTAGCAAGTCACTCTCAAACATTAGCAATCCTTGAACCACCATTTTTTCTCTTTTTGTCATCAACATCTTGGTCTCACAACCACTAAATAAGAAAATGACGAGTGCGTTGGAAGCGTTATTAAATCAGGTAGTTTTCCTCAAATTTGCTGCCTTCTGAGACTAAAATTAGAAACTCTGGATTACTTTATACACTTTCCGATTTACACAATTTTCCACTCTTTTTGTAGTTCTGGCTGAAATAAAACACAAAAAATTAGCCCAAACATTTTGCCACCGTCATCTTCTTATTGAAAAATTAACGGGAATTTCAACGGTGCTATTAGATTTTCAGAGAAATGTTTAGATTAAAAGATATCACGATTTTCCGACGCCAGGACGTGATATCTTTCAAAATCGATAAAAAGCGAAATTACTCTGAAATGGTTGAGAATCGGACCATGGACAATATGAACTTTTTTGTTCATTTTAGGGTGAAGAATCTACTGGAGAAGTTTGTAGCACGAGTAGCAATTCACCCTGTATAAAATAAATGAACCTATATTCGACAATGTACATTTTTAAAGAGTCAGCTTATTCGGTGTGAATATATGTGTTCTCATATGTTTCAATATATCCTGTTAGAAACCAAAGGAACGCGCCGAAGACGTTTATTGGAAATTTATATTGTAGGTCACTCCTAGCAAGATTAATGGTTTGGTACGTTTTGGGCATAATATACGCAAATAGTTGATGGCTCATAACCTGCACTGCTATGAGTTATGACCTAGAGATAATGTGCGGTTTACCTAAAGAGAAGAGATGCCACAGTCTTGAGGGTGGGATTCACTTCCAAGGAATCCCAAGAACAATGTATATTAACAACAGTAAATTACGTCAAGGGGCACATTCCTCACCTGATCCGCACACATCTCCTATTTGG